ACAAAGGTTGTGTAAATAGGGAGAGTTATCTATTTACATTGTGAGTATATTTTGAAGATTTTTCCATTTACAAAGGTTGTGTAAATAGGGAGAATTATCTATTTACAAAGGTTGTGTAATTAGGGAGAGTTATCTATTTACATAGTGAGTATAATTTTGAAGAGTCATCTATTTACAAAGGTTGTGTAAATATGGAATGTTATCTATTTACATAGTGAGTGTAATTTTGGAGAGTTATCTATGTACAAAGGTTGTGTAAATAGGGAGAGTTATCTATTTAAAAAGGTTGTGTAAATATGGAGTGTTTTCTATTTACATTGTAAGTATAATTTTGGAGAGATATCTATGTACAAAGGTTGTGTAAATAGGGAGAGTTATCTATTTACATAGTGAGTATAATTTTGGAGAGGTATCTATTTACATAGTGAGTATAATTTTGGAGAGATATCTATGTACAAAGGTTGTGTAAATAGGGAGAGTTATCTATTTAAAAAGGTTATGTAAATAGGGAGAGTTATCTATTTACATAGTGAATATGATTTTGGAGAGTTATCTATTTACATAGTGAATATAATTTTGTAAAGTGATCTATTTACATAGTGAGTATGATTTTGGAAAGTTATCTATTTAAAAGGTTTGTGTAAATAGGGAGAGTTATCTATTTACATAGTGAGTATAATTTTGGAGAGATATCTATTTACAAAGGTTGTGTAAATAGGGAGAGTTATGTATTTATAAGTGGGTATAATTTTGGAGAGTTATCTATTTACAAAGTTTGTGTAAATATGAAGTTTTATCTATTTACATAGTGAGTATAATTTTAGAGAGTTATCTATTTACAAAGGTTGTGTAAATAGGTAGAGTAATCTATTTACCTAATGAGTATAATTTTAAAGGGTTACCAATCTACAAAGATAGTGTAAATAGGGAGAGTTATCTATTTACAAAGGTTGTGTAAATAGGGAGAGTTATCTATTTACAAAGGTTGTGTAAATAGGGAGAGTTATCTATTTACAAAGGTTGTGTAAATAGGGAGAGTTATCTATTTACATAGTGAGTATAATTTTAAAGAGTTACCAATTTACAAAGATAGTGTAAATAGAGAGAGTTATCTATTTACAAAGGTTGTGTAAATAGAGTGAGTTATCTATTTACATTTTGAGTATATTTTGAAGAATTTTCCATTTACAAAGGTTGTGTAAATAGGGAGAATTATCTATTTACAAAGGTCGTGTAAATAGGGAGAGTTATCTATTTACATAGTGAGTATAATTTTAAAGAGTTACCAATTTACAAAGATAGTGTAAATAGGGAGAATTATCTATTTACAAAGGTTGTGTAAATATGGAGTGTTATCTATTTACATAGTGAGTGTAATTTTGGAGAGTTATCTATATACAAAGGTTGTGTAAATATGGAGTGTTATCTATTTACATAATGAGTGTAATTTTAGAGAGTTATCTATTTACATAGTGAGTATAATTTTGGAGAGTTATCTATTTACAAAGGTTGTGTAAATAGGGAGAGTTATCTATTTACATAGTGAGTATAATTTTAAAGAGTTACCAATTTACAAAGATAGTGTAAATAGGGAGAATTATCTATTTACAAAGGTTGTGTAAATATGGAGTGTTATCTATTTACATAGTGAGTATAATTTTGGAGAGTTATCTATTTACAAAGTTTGTGTAAATATGGAGTGTTATCTATTTACATAGTGAGTATAATTTTGGAGAGTTATCTATTTACATTGTGAGTATAATTTTGGAGAGTTATCTATTTACCAAGTTTGTGTGAATATGGAGTGTTATCTATTTACCTAGTGAGTATAATTTTGGAGAGTTATCTATTTACAAAGGTTGTGTGAATATGGAGTGTTATCTATTTACATTTATTGTTACAAAAGCACGAAGTCCGAAGGACTATTGTGCTGTGCTAGTATTATTTACATATATATGATTAATTATTTACAGGATGGATTAGTATTGTTTTGTAAATTATTGTACAAATAGTTCTAAACTTAACAAAGTTCTCATAAGATAGAGTATATACACAAAGAGAATTTGGTAATGTTTCAAAATATCTACATACAATTTGATTAGTCAGAGTGCAAGTTAAAAGAAGATGCTCTGGTGATTCAACATCTAAGCGGCATTCACATGTTGGATCACTGATAGCATTCAGTTTGAATAGGAAACTTAAGAAGGGTCCTTTGCCAGTTAAGAATAAAGTAGTGAATTTATCAGAAGAAATGAAATTTGGGACAGCAATTGGGAAATAATTTCTTGAACAGTTCATTAGATTGAGAAAGATAAAACTTAAATTTTAGATCCAGATATAGTTTGTTTAATTCTTTTTGAAGGGGTTTTTTGAGTGTTCGATCTGTGAGAGAATTTGTCATATTATACTTTGTTTGTAATAATTCAAGATAATCGGACAGTAAAGGGGTTTTCGCTAGTATATGTGTGATGTAAGAAGATGAAGTCCTATAAGCATGAATGCATCTAATAAGAATTTGATATTGTATAGAATTCAACTTGGATCTTTTTGCTGCAGTGATAAAAGGAAACCAAATATTTGATGCATAGCTTATTGTAGAGCGTATCATAGCTTTATATAAAATCAATCTACGCCGAGTATCAATGCCCCAAGTACGTGCACATAATGAGAATAATATATTCTTAAGTTTCGTAGCTTTCATAATTATATTGTCAACATGTGTTCCAAAATTAATCTTATTCCTTTGTCTATGATTTTTAAAAATAACTCCCAAAATTTTAACAGTTTCTGATGTGTGAATTATTTTTCCATCAAAATTAATGGGCAATTTTTCATAGTTATGTAGATAGAGTATACCTGTTTCATTTGGACTTAGTTAAAGTTTTACCTTTTCACACCAGGCTTTGATTTTTATTAAACATTTGGTAATATTATACTGAAGATCATAGATGTTTGAACTCCATACCACAAATGTCACATCGTCCGCGAAAGCAATTACTCTAGCAAAACTTTCGTTAAAAGATAAGTTGAAATCATTAAGTAATATATTCCAAATTCACTATTTACATACTATTTTGGAGAGTTATCCATTCACAAAGATTGTGTAAATAGGGAGAGTTATCTATTTACATTGTAAGTATAATTTTGGAGAGTTATCTATTTACAAAGTTTGTGTAAATAGGGAGAGTTATCTATTTACATAGTGAGTATAATTTTGGAGAGTTATCTATTTACAAAGTTGTGTAAATATGGAGTGTTATCTTTTTACATAGTGAGTATAATTTTGGAGAGTTATCTATTTACAAAGTTGTGTAAATATGGAGTGTTATCTATTTACCTAGTGAGTATAATTTTGGAGAGTTATCTATTTACAAAGTTGTGTAATATGAAGTTTTATCTATTTACCTAGTGAGTATAATTTTGGAGAGTTATCTATTTACAAAGTTGTGTAAATATGGAGTGTTATCTATTTACATAGTGAGTATAATTTTTGAGAGTTATCTATTTACAAAGTTGTGTAAATATGGAGTGTTATCTATTTACCTAGTGAGTATAATTTTGGAGAGTTATCTATTTACAAAGTTGTGTAAATATGGAGTGTTATCTATTTACATAGTGAGTATAATTTTGGAGAGTTATCTATTTACAAAGTTGTGTAAATATGGAGTGTTATCTATTTACCTAGTGAGTATAATTTTGGAGAGTTATCTATTTACAAAGTTGTGTAAATATGGAGTGTTATCTATTTACATAGTGAGTATAATTTTTGAGAGTTATCTATTTACAAAGTTGTGTAAATATGGAGTGTTATCTATTTACCTAGTGAGTATAATTTTGGAGAGTTATCTATTTACGAAGTTGTGTAAATATGAAGTGTTATCTATTTACCTAGAGAGTATAATTTTGGAGAGTTATCTATTTACAAAGTTGTGTAAATATGGAGTGTTATCTATTTACATAGTGAGTATAATTTTGGAGAGTTATCTATTTACAAAGTTGTGTAAATATGGAGTGCTATCTATTTACATAGTGAGTATAATTTTGGAGAGTTATCTATTTACAAAGTTGTGTAAATATGGAGTGTTATATATTTACATAGTGAGTATAATTTTTGAGAGTTATCTATTTACAAAGTTGTGTAAATATGGAGTGTTATCTATTTACATAGTGAGTATAATTTTGGAGAGTTATCTATTTACAAAGTTTGTGTAAATAGGGAGAGTTATCTATTTACATAGTGAGTATAATTTTGGAGAGTTATCTATTTACAAAGTTGTGTAAATAGGGAGTGTTATCTATTTACATAGTGAGTATAATTTTGGAGAGTTATCTATTTACAAAGTTTGTGTAAATAAGGAGAGTTATCTATTTACATAGTGAGTGTAATTTTGGAGAGTTATCTATGTACAAAGGTTGTGTGAATAGGGAGAGTTTTCTATTTACATTGTAAGTATAATTTTGGAGAGTTATCTATTTACAAAGTTTGTGTAAATAGGGAGAGTTATCTATTTACATAGTGAGTATAATTTTGGAGAGTTATCTATTTACATAGTGAGTATAAATTTGGAGAGTTATCTATGTACAAAGGTTGTGTAAATAGGGAGAGTTATCTTTGTACAAATGTTGTGTAAATAGGGAGAGTTATCTATTTACAAAGGTTGTGTAAATATGGAGTGTTATCTATTTACATAGTGAGTATAATTTTGGAGAGTTATCTATTTACAAAGCTCGTGTAAATAGGGAGTTTTATCTATTTACATAGTGAGTATAATTTTGGAGAGTTATCTATTTACAAAGCTTGTGTAAATAGGGAGAGTTATCTATTTACATAGTGAGTATAATTTTGGAGATAAAACACTTAAAGTCGCACCGCATAAGCCTCTTTTCCGTGAAAAATCAATATTTATTTCAAAGAGAAATATTTACTATTTCTAACTTTTTTGGATGAAGTATGAAAGGGTGAAAATATGAAGAGTAATGGCGAACGGAAAAATAAAAGTGTCCAGGGGCGGGAATCGAACCCACAACCTTCCGCTTACCGGGCAGATGCCATGTCCACTAGGCTACCCTGGACGTATTCCTCCGTTCGTAAATAATACTTAAAGTAACTTATAATACATTATAAAGGACTGCGGCGTATGATTATAAAACACTTAAAGTCGCACCGCATAAGCCTCTTTTCCGTGAAAAATCAATATTTATTTCAAAGAGAAATATTTACTATTTCAAACTTTTTTGGATGAAGTATGAAAGGGTGAAAATATGAAGAGTAATGGCGAACGGAAAAATAAAAGTGTCCAGGGGCGGGAATCGAACCCACAACCTTCTGCTTACCGGGCAGATGCCATGTCCACTAGGCTACCCTGGACGTATTCCTCCGTTCGTAAATAATACTTAAAGTAACTTATAATACATTATAAAGGACTGCGGCGTATGATTATAAAACACTTAAAGTCGCACCGCATAAGCCTCTTTTCCGTGAAAAATCAATATTTATTTCAAAGAGAAATATTTACTATTTCTAACTTTTTTGGATGAAGTATGAAAGGGTGAAATTATGAAGAGTAATGGCGAACGGAAAAATAAAAGTGTCCAGGGTCGGGAATCGAACCCACAACCTTCCGCTTACCGGGCAGATGCCATGTCCACTAGGCTACCCTGGACGTATTCCTCCGTTCGTAAATAATACTTAAAGTAACTTATAATACATTATAAAGGACTGCGGCGTATGATTATAAAACACTTAAACTCTTTGAAATAAATATTGATTTTTCACGGAAATAGGCTTATGCGGTGTGACTTTAAGTGTTTTATAATCATACGCCGCAGTCCTTTATAATAATTTTGGAGAGTTATCTATGTACAAAGGTCGTGTAAATAGGGAGAGTTATCTATGTACAAAGGTCGTGTAAATAGGGAGAGTTATCTATTTACATAGTGAGTATAATTTTGGAGAGTTATCTATGTACAAAGGTCGTGTAAATAGGGAGAGTTATCTATTTACATAGTGAGTATAATTTTGGAGAGTTATCTATGTACAAAGGTCGTGTAAATAGGGAGAGTTATCTATGTACAAAGGTCGTGTAAATAGGGAGAGTTATCTATTTACATAGTGAGTATAATTTTGGAGAGTTATCTATGTACAAAGGTCGTGTAAATAGGGAGAGTTATCTATTTACATAGTGAGTATAATTTTGGAGAGTTATCTATTTACATAGTGAGTGAATTTTGGAGAGTCATCTATTTACAAAGTTTGTGTAAATAGGGAGAGTTATCTATTTACATAGTGAGTATAATTTTGGAGAATTATCTATTTACACAATAATGGAGGGTAGGAGGTTATGAATGATGTAGGCAACACATATCAAAACAGTTTTAACTTCGCATTTAGTATTGGCCAGCATTCCGTTTGGTTACTGCACATTTTTCTTTGAGTTGGACTTTGTTCAATAAACTACGACTTTATTAGATGCATTTATTAACTTCAACAAATTGAAGTAGTTCAAAATGAAATTCGATCAACTTGTGTTCAAAACTGGTCAATTTATATCACGTTGATTTGCCTCTCGGCTAAAAGAGAAACCAGAATACAAGAATAGACAGCGTATACAAGAGGAAGGAACAAAGAACACAGCGGGACTTCCAAAATTTGATTAATGCTTTCTTTTCTATCTGCAGCTCTAATGACTGACTCAAAGCGCTCTGGGTGATTTGGTCCATTGAGGCTGTTTCAGCAGCCAATTTGGGCAAACAGCTATGCTGACACATCTCCGACCCCCAGGTCAATCTCCCGAGGTGCTAATGGCCGAACAACAAAAAATCTTTCCATTGTCACAGACTTCTGCTCAAAAAGCACCTGCTCATTGAACGGGAAAAAAAATCCATCTAGTTAAATTCATAACCGTGTGCCCTCCCACCCCGAAGACCTCCTGCAGCGACTTTCGATCCGAAAAAGCCTCCCACCTCACCGAGTAGCTGGATTGTTTGGAGGGACTTTGTGAGTGTCTTCTGGACCGTAAGCGATGGACTCGGCTCAGCATCTGGCGCAGACACGTGGCGGACTCCTCTAATGGTAACTAATACAATCATGCCGAGCATCGATGTGGAAGATTGCCAACTCCGGGTAAGCATATGATTAGCCCACCGCACGTGTGACTTCGGTCTCCCTCGTAACGACACCTTTGTCAACACGCTCCCGCCTTCCTTCCTTCTCTTGTTAGATGATTAGCAAACTTTTTTGTTGCGTTGTGTGTGTAACGTTTGGTAGGCGCGTTAAGCCGCGGGGTGGGAATATGGGATAAAGTCTCCGAAAAAGACGAACTTAAGCGCTATTTTATATTTTAATCGGGTCATTCTTAGGCTATTTCATTTAGCTCTATAGCAAGCTCACTGCTAAGTTACACACATGCACATACAGCTTTATTAAGACCACCGGTCTTATACAGTTTCACCACAGGAAGAAAGCATAGATGGAGCTCCTATACTCCAGGCAGCATAGAACCCAACAATTGTTCTGTAAATACACACATACAGCTTTATTAAGACCACCGATCTTATACAGATTTACCACAGGACGGAAGCATAGATGGAGCTCCTATACTCCAGGCAGCATAGAACCCAACAATTGCTCTGAATATACACACACATACAGCTTTATTAAGGCCACAGGTCTTATACAGATTCACCACAGGAAGGAAGCATAGATAGAGCTCCTATACTCCAGGCAACACCGAACCCAACAATTGTTCTGAATATACACACACATACAGCTTTATTAAGACCACCGGTCTTATACAGATTCACCACAGGAAGGAAGCATAGATAGAGCTCCTATACTCCAGGCAGCACAGAACCCAACAATTGTTCTGAATATATACACACACATACAGCTTTATTAAGACCACCGGACTTATACAGATTCACCACAGGCAGAAAGCATAGATGGAGATTCTATACTCCAGGCAGCACAGAACCCAACAATTGTTCTGAATATACACACACACATACAGCTTTATTAAGACCACCGGACTTATACAGATTCACCACAGGCAGAAAGCATAGATGGAGATTCTATACTCCAGGCAGCACAGAACCCAACAATTGTTCTGAATATACACACACACATACAGCTTTATTAAGACCACCGGACTTATACAGATTCACCACAGGCAGAAAGCATAGATGGAGATTCTATACTCCAGGCAGCACAGAACCCAACAATTGTTCTGAATATACACACACACATACAGCTTATTAAGACAACCGGACTTTTACAGATTCACCACAGGAAGGAAGCATAGATGGAGCTCCTATACTCCAGGCAGCACAGAACCCAACAATTGTTCTGAAAATACACACACATACAGCTTTATTAAGACCACAGGTCTTATATAGATTTACCATAGGAAGGAAGCATAGATGGAGCTCCTATACTCCAGGCAGCACAGAACCCAACAATTGTTCTGAATATACACATACATACAGCTTTATTAAGACCACCGGTCTTATACAGATTCACCACAGGAAGGAAGCATAGATGGAGCTCCTATACTCCAGGCAGCACAGAACCCAACAATTGTTCTGAATATACACACATACAGCTTTATTAAGACCACCGGTCTTATACAGATTCACCACAGGAAGGAAGCATAGATAGAGCTCCTATACTCCAGGCAGCACAGAACCCAACAATTGTTCTGAATATACATATAGCTTTATTAAGACCACCGGTCTTATACAGATTCACCACAGGAAGGAAGCATAGATGGAATTCCTATACTCCAGGCAGCACAGAACCCAAATATTGTTCTGAATATACACACATACATACAACATTTTTTTTAAACCACTGGTCTTATACAGATTCCCCACAGGAAGGAATCATAGATAAAGTTCCTATACTACAGGCATCACAGAACACAAAAACAGCCTCCAGGTCCGACACATGTCCATTGGTCACAGAATCCACCGTGTATACGTCAAGGTTAGCGTATCACCGAAAAGACAAGTGTGGAATCAGCCGCGTTCTAGTCTTCTATTTCTCATCCAAATGCCCGTCGTACTGCTAAGTTACATAAAGATAATTTTCAGTTTGGCATCGAAACTGCAATTCAATTTTCGATTTTGAGCAGGCAAAGAAGTCTATAAAATCGTTATTTTCTGAAATCTCAGATAATCCTCTTTATACACTGGTTACTCCTATTACAATTCAAACAATCTATATGACCCTAGTAAATTATGTTGTTGTTGCTTATTCCAGAGAAGGAAAGAAGAGTACTGTTGGTCTGAAGACCTGGAAATACCATTCAGTGTGAATTTGCTTCTTTTGGTCTCCTGACATGGAGTGTAGCCGCTCCTATGAAGAACAGACACTACCAATTGATACCTTTCTACATTAGCCAGGTATGTAGCACAGGGTGGTCCTACCAGGAGTTAAACTTCAGACGTCCTGTGCTACCTGTTTACACCATCCCGCCATTTTGAAGCTGTAGGATAGGATTTTGGGAGGGCTAGTGAATTATGGTATATTAGAATTTAGACAACAATAATCTACCTAAATTTTATTGCCATCTATCGTTAAAATTTTACACAAATAAATTTACTGGCAATGCGTTTCTTTTAAATATTATCAAATATTATCTCTATAGACCTTACTGCAATGGTATGAGTTATTGAATGAGAGGGCTTGGCTCATCAGTAGTGATAATTCTCAGCGGTTTCGCCAAATTAATCTCTAGACCGCTCTACTATTGTATTGGACTGGTTTTGTTATATACCCTGCATTTTCTATGGAAGGCAGCTTAGGGGTGTTTAAGGAACTATGGACATAAGCTTATAGGTCTGTAGAGGTACATACATATATTTTCAAGGTATTGCATCGAGCAAAGCTCTTCCGCAAAATATGCTTTCATAACCAATATATATTAGTAAATTAAATTTTATTGCCATCTATCGTTAAAATTTTACACAAATAAATTTACTGGCAATGCGTTTCTTTTTAAATATCATCAAATATTATCTCTACAGACCTTACTGCAATGGTATGAGTTATTGAATGAGAGGGCTTGGCTCATCAGTAGTGAACCCTCTCAGCGGTTTCGCCAAATTAATCTCTAGACCGCTCTACTATTGTATTGGACTGGTTTTGTTATATACCCTGCATTTTCTATGGAAGGCAGCTTAGGGGTGTTTAAGGAACTATGGACATAAGTAGAGCGGTCTAGAGATTAATTTGGCGAAACCGCTGAGAGGGTTCACTACTGATGAGCCAAGCCCTCTCATTCAATAACTCATACCATTGCAGTAAGGTCTATAGAGATAATATTTGATGATATTTAAAAGAAACACATTGCCAGTAAATTTATTTGT